TTCAACACAACCCAGATTAGACTGGGAGAGCTCAGTTCAATCACTCAGGCAGACACCTAGCTCTAGCTAGTTCCCAGGGTATCCTAATGGCTCTCAGCTACCACTCCAGAAGGGCATATTTCTCTCCCAGTTTTAACCATATCTGCCAGCCCCAGGCAGGGGTCTTAGGTACCCTCTTTCACCTCAAATGGCACTAGGAGCCTATGTGATAGTGACTGAATCAAGCCCGGACAGAGGGATACAGTTGCCTTACTGTCATCTCCCACCATTGGGATAAAATTGAGATAAAATTTAATTACTTCTGATGTGCTGCTTAGCATAATGCCATTTAACTCATCTTAAATAATGTTATTTTTCAGCGTTATAGGATACGTGCTTATAACCTCCAAAATACCAGTTGGACAGCGCTTTGTGTAAGTACTGCAAAAGAGGACAAACCTGAGTTTGTTGAATTCTGACAGTGAAAATAATAAAACTACTTTTCACTTTCATGCTCTAGTCTACAAATCTCAAAGCTCTTTTCAAAGATGGTTATGCACTCCTATTCATACCTGTAACTAAGGGAAGTGTGGCACACAATGGTGAAATGGCTTTTTCAATGCTACATCAGAAGTAAAAAGAGAACTCCAGCCACCCGACTCAGCCACTGAACCACAAATAAAAGAAATAAAATGGCTGGTGTCAGTCTTATTCCACCTACCTGGCTTCAGGTCAGAAACAAGTCAGTGACTCCGTGAACCCGTTTCTGCATAAGAGTAACTTATTCTCATGAGTAGCTTCACTGAAATTAGTTTGCATGAAAAGTTTTACTGAATTCAAATGACAGCTGAATAACTGCCTGTGCAGTACAAGTATTTATTTTTAATATACTGTACATGCACTCTGGTCTCAGTTTAGCATGTTCATCCTGAGAGGATCTAATTTAATTATTCTCTTTTATATTTATGGCACATTCTCCAGCAGTGCTATCTTCCAAATACTCTCACATCTCCAGTATTATGCCTGGCTATGTCAGGAATGAATCAGAAGCCACATTAAGACTTGTTATGTCAGCTTAAAAATTCATGTTATCCACTACTTGAATACTCAAAGAAAGTGTCAGAGCACTTTTTCTTCAATCAAATTAAATTCTGAAGATTGCTCAATAGAAGACAGAAAGTTTCAAGGCAGGGAAAACAGGGCCAGGCTTATGAAGCCAAAACAATCATTATTCTGAATCTTAAACAAGGTCATTCCCCAACTCCTTCCAAAACTCCTAAATTTCTATAGAAAACTGGCATTTTAAAATCAAAGTGACTTAGCCAAATTTATCCCTACTATAGTGACAATGAAGTCATTAAATCAGTTTTAATGTACAATCAATTTGGCCAATTAAGCCCAACATTCATTGATTTTGTTGATTCATAGTGTGAAGATTGAAGGCCCCCACATAATGGATGGATTCCAATCCCATTTAACAAAGCTGGCAAAAGTTTTATGAGTTTATTTCCATTTATCTTCCAGATAGATAGGGCTAAACTAACTACTAAATCTGCATATTTGGTTTATGTATCTAAATAGCTCCAGCTTCAATACAGTATCTGAGCCCCTCCTTGTTTTTAAAAACAGAAAAGAAGAAAAAAAACAAACCAAAACAATAGCAGGCTGTTTCTTTCTTCGTTTTCGATCTGAAGGAGAAAAAGCTTGATTAGTTTATGGGAGGGGGAGGTTGTTTATTTGCTTGTTTATGTTTGTATGTGATTGAGTCAATGTGTGTGTATGTTTGGAATTGGCAGGCAGCTCCTTATCTGTGCTGGCAGATATGTCCATGATCTAAAAACAGCCTTTTAGAACTGGCTGCATGTCTCACTATACACCGAGAAACAATTTCAGCAGCTGCCTCAGAGCTGAGTCCTTCTGAGACCTCACTGCCCATTTACCGCTGAAGAAAAACATTTTGAACAGCAATGGAGTACCTCACCCGCTGGTTCAGATCCTCATCCTGCCCAGCCTCCCCAGCTGGGCAGGACGTTATCCATTGCACCTAAACGATCAATTGTCAGCAGCGTGCTGGGCAGCCGTACAGAGTATATAGTACACCTTGTCCATTAAATCTTTGGCTGGGATTCATCTTACCTAACGCTAGACAGCTGCAGGGTAGCTGTCTCCAATTAAGCTGGTCACTTCAGGTTTCCTTTACAGTCATATTGGCACTTTTATGGCACAGTCCGTCTGATCTATTTTTGGATGACTACTTCAGTATGCAATGAATCACACCTTAAAAGCGCAATTACTTTTTTTCTTTTTTTTTTTTCTCCACTGACTCAAAGGGGGCCTGGAATAACTCGTTTGAGATACGACCACTTTAATCTTAATATTACAGTAAATCAGCCCAGAAATCACAGAATCACAGAATCATGATTGAGGTTGGAAGGGACCTCTGGAGGTCACCTTGTCCAACCCCCCTGCTCAAGCAGGGCCACCTAGAGCTGGTTGCCCAGGACCATGTCCAGGCGGCTTTTGAATATCTTCAAGGCTGGAGACTCCAGAACCTTTCTGGGCAACCCATGCCAGTGCTTGGTCACCCTCACAGAAGAAAAGTGTTTCCTGATGTTCAGAGGGAACCTCCTGTGTTTCAGGTTGTGCCCATTGCCTCGGGTCCTGTCATTGGGTACCACTGAAAAGAGCCTGGCTCTGTCCCCTTTATAACCTCTCGTCAGGTATTTATATACATTTAAAAGATCCCCCTGAGCCTTCTCTTCTCCAGGCTGAACAGTCCCAACTCTCTCAGCTTTTCCTCATAGGAGAGATGCTCTAGCCCCTTCATCATCTTAGTAGCCCTTCATTGGACTCTCTTCAGTATGTTCATGTCTCTTTTGTACTGGAGAGCCCAGAGCTGGACCCAGTACTCCAAGCGTGGCCTCACCAGTGCTGAGTAGAGAGGAACGATCGCATCCCTCAACTTGCTGGCAACGCTTTGGCTAATGCAGACCAAGATACCATTCACCCTCTTTGCAGCAAGGGCACATTGATGGCTCATGTAAAATCCAAGCAGAGATTGTAGAGAGTACAAGTCCCCTACACATGCATGAAATGAAGCCATTCTGAACACAGGTATCACTAAGTAATTCATTTCACATGAACTATAGTAAGCTCATGAAGAGACAGGTGATGGTAACTACCCTTCTGACCTAAGGACAGAAGCAGCCCATATCCCAG